GCTTCGGTCTGATGCCCCTACAGACCACCCACCAGAAGAACCAGCACAGTGGGTGGACGACTTGGCCGACAAGGTTGAAATTCAGCGTCTCTGCAACATTCAGGTGCTGGTGGCAGCAAAAGATTTCTCAGGTGAAGTAACTGGAAGTTTGACAACAAAGTTTGCCCGGGATTGGCGTTTGAAGAATTTTGGAGCAGGTTCAAATAGCTGCAAGAAATGGATGAGGAGATCACGTTTTGTGGCGCGGGAATTCGCCAACACCCGTCGCCTTGACACTTTCAGTCCTGCTACAGGAGCCCATACATCGAACATCTTACCATTGAAGTATTTGTGGATGAAAAACATGGCCGCTGAATTGAAAGCCGATGGGGATTATTCAGTGGTTATGGGTGCGTTGGATGTTCGAGATGCGTTTTTGCAGGTTGAACAGGATGAAAAGGTTTTGGTCCATTTGCAGAATGAGCCCTTCATTATCATGCGTAATCTTCCTGGGCAACGGTTGGGGGCGAAACAGTGGTATTTGCATTTGAGAGATTTTTTGGAGAAAACCCTGGGATTTGAATTTTGTCCGGAACAACCATGCCTTGCTCGTACAAGAGATGCAGTTATCGTGATCCATGTGGACGATATTCTGTATGTTGGAACAAAGCAGTTTTGGGATGGTTCATTCTTGAAGGAAATGAAATCCAAGTTCACGGTGAGTCATGAACAACTTGAAGGTCCAGGCAGTAGCATCAAGTTTCTCAGGAGAAAAATGGTTGAGACAACAGATGGACTGGTGCTCATGCCAGGAACTACAGTGGAGCGAGTTGTCAATGCATTCGAGAGTGCATTTGGCTCAGCACGTTTGCAAAAGGTTCCAAGTGACTCTGGTATCCAGCTCACAGACACTTCGCCACGACTGAATGACAGGGATTCAAGCATGTTTCGTTCAATCATTGGCCTATGTTTATACATTGGACGTGAGAGACCTGACCTCATGTACACGATAAAGGAACTTGCTTCTCACATGTCATGTCCAACGGTTGCAGCATTGGGACGTTTGCGTAAGGCGTAAGATGATTGGATTTATGAAACAGGTTGGAGACATTGGAGTGAAACTTTGTTATCCAGAACCAGGAGTTGGCAAAGTCAACACAGCAGCTGAGTGTGAGTGGATTTTGGAGAGTTTCAGCGATGCCGACTGGAACGCCAACAAGACCACGAGGCATTCTACGTCTTGTGGGGTCCATTTCATCAACAACTGTTTCATGTATGCCAGCAGCCGTAATCAGAAAGTGGTGTCCCTCAGCAGTTGCGAAAGTGAACTTCATAGCTTGGTAAGTTGTGCATGTGATGGTATTTACATCAGAGCTTGTGCAATGTTCGTGCTAAATGGGGTTGTAGAACATTTTCAATACACTGACTCAAGTTCGGCACGTCAAATCGTGTGTCGACAAGGATGTGGCAGAGTGAGGCACGTTTCTGGGAAGTTGCTTTGGGCACAAGAGAAAACAGCAGACAAATCCTTCTCGCTTCACCCTGTGGCCACACTTCACAATGTAGCAGATATCGGAACAAAGACCCTATCACGACAAAGGCTCTTTTACCTCTTGCATTCATGTGGATTGGTGTATGGAGTTGATTTTTCAGATGTTGGTGAGAATGAGTTTTCACTGGTCAATGAAAGGCTGGTCAATGCGCAGCAGCTGAAGAAGATCTCCAAAGCGATCCTACGCATGGGTCTAGCAATGGGAATCACGGAGGGCCTTGAGTCTAGTGGTGCAATGGCTCAACAATGCGGCAACAATGAGATCCAGGTCAACAAATTTCCATGGATGTTTGCATGTGTGGTTTTCCTTATTTGCATGGTGGCTTTTACAGCTTTCTGGAGGAGATTCCAAAGGTTTTTGAAGGATTGGGATGATCGAATGAAGAGACTGGAAAGCGATGTGGATTCAGCCCAAGTTCAATTGGGAGACCATTATGAATATGCAGCACATCTTTCAGAACGTATCGATGGCTTAGATGTGAGATGTGAAAGCATCGATGAAGCTTCGGATGCGCAAGCAGCTCAGGTTTCAACTCTTGAGGAGGAGATGATGGAATCTTCCCATTCGACAGAGGAAGTACTGGACTGCATAAGGTATGGACTTATGGAACTGGGAGGATTTGTTAGGCACACTTTTCTTTCCAGGGAGCAACGGTCCCACATGTTTGTGCAGGAGAGAGCAAACATGGTACTTTGGAATTTGCGCAACCAAGCAGATACAACGGATGTTGCAACGCAAAACAATGGTGAAGGAGGAGAAGAAGAAATGAGAACAAATGATCCAGAAGTTGAACCCGAGTCTCACGTCTCCCCTGGACGCATTACAGCCTTGCTGGAGAACGTGAGACGTGATTTGAACATAGCGCTTCAAGCAGAAAGATGGACAGAAAACAATCAACTACAAGGTGCAGTGAACATTCTTTTGGACGCTGCGAGTGGTCCAAGCCCAGAAGGACTATCAATGAGAGTTTTGAGGGATGTGAGAAACATTTTTCAGAGACTATTTCGCATTCACAGGAACAGAGGACTGGAAGAACGCAGAGACCGTTTTAGAGTCTATGTCGAAGACATTAACTCTTTGATGCAATGATGGAGAAGGAAGACTGGGACAGAAATGTTTTTTCAGCAAAACACTGCTGAACATGCGTTGGAAGTGGAAAATTGGAATTAGAGTGATGCACTCAAATCCCAAAGGAGGAGTGCAAAGAATTTCAGAGCCTACTCATGTCCCAGATTGCAAGGATGACACAGCACAAATCGAGATGAGTTAGATGTCTTGTGTCACATGTGAGCATCATGAAAAGCATGATTGACTCGTTACTCGTTAGGCCCTTTTGGCTGGAAAACAGTTGCGTGATTTTCGCTCATTGCTTCGCACTATCCTATCCAGCCGCTTAGCAGAAAACCAATCATGATCCAACCAGATGGATCCAACACACGTAAGGCTGGACATCGAATGTACAGATGCCGAATGAGACATCAAAATCTCCAACCAGATACTCCCCCGATATGGTGAAAAAAATTGGTCGCGCCGCTGATTGAAGTCGAGGTAGTTGATCGTTGTGTTGTGAATTTTGGACGTCATGATATTGATGGTTTCTAGGATCAAGGAGTTGAGACAAGAAACTACAATACGCAACACAACAGTACACAACACAACAATACACAACACAACAGTACACAACAGTACACAACAGGACATTACAGCACACTGCACTAAACTACATTACGCTACATTAATTGCACCACACCACAACTACAACTGTAACCGCAACTACATTACGCTAACTACACTACATTACAACTACAACTCCACTACACTACAACTACAACAACACTACACCACACCACATCCAGCAGTTGTGGGTTAGGTGACCACTGCAGCCACCGCAACCACTCCAACTCCAGCCACCTTTCGGCCCATCAGTGGGTTCGCCCTGCCATCCATGCATCGCAACAATTTACCTCTCTTTTCATGCCCTATCTTTGAAACTTCAGCCACCGCCTTGCGAAGTACTACTAGTATTAATGACCAAGGATCACTTAAAAACTTGCGGCGCGTTCTGCGTCCATCAGACCTTTGGATCCTTTGTATCGGTTTGGTGCGTGAAAGGCACAAGTTTTGCGTCCTCAGCTGGGAAGTTTCAAGCCATGACAGGTGAAGTTCAGGATTGAGACATCACACCATACATTGACTATCTAGGATGCGATCTTTTGAACATAAAATTATTGCTAGATATCAGCTTCATCCAACTCCAAACATAGATTCCTAACTGTGTTCGCTGGTTGCCCTTGACATTGCTTGCGTTGGTGCCGCACGTCTTGAGAATGGGTTCAAATTTCAAATTAAGTTGTTTTACATGCCTCAAATTTTTTAAAGAGGCGACCCTTTCAGTGAACCAGGCGATGAAATGAAAATTCATTGTTTTATTCAGCAAATCTCATCATTTTTTCGCACAGTTCCCGAGAAAATTGCATCAACCACATGGCATCAAACGATGGTTCGTCTACCTCAGCAGGGTGCCCTAGCTGTGCTGGGGTGTGCCACAATTTCCGATCCAACTGTGTTGTTCTGATGCTGTGTTTTCATGGTGCAAACATGTTGGGACATACGGAGATTCTTGACAAATCACGAGGATTTCCATTCGATGTGACCGCGAATGTCAAAATTTGGTTCAACTTCTTGCATTTTTTTACTTGGTTGATCCGATTTTTTTTTCTTTCTTTCCTTCCTTCCGACTTTCCTTCTGTCTCTCTCATCATTCAAGTGGGGACTGCATCAGTTCACACAATTTATGCCAATTACCGATAAATTTATGCACCGTGTTGCAACGTAATCTGACACCGGATTCTAGTTGATGTTGATGAAGTCGAACACCTTGACATCGTCATTATGGGGAAAAAAACATATCCCAAAATATCTTTGGAAACATCTTTCAAATCGGAAAAACATGCACCGCAAGAACCCCTTTTGGGTTGGCACTCTGGGTTGCAGCCCTGTGTCGCAACTTGCAACCAACCTCCCAAGCAAGTTAAACATGTCTAAGATTTGCAGTCCACTTTCAATAAACCTTGCCTCTGGTTTCAGATTCGCCAGCAACCACTCCATTGGACAGGGGGGTCATCAAACGCGAAATAGACAATCGAGATGCCAACCATACTGGAGGAAATCCACACACACAGTAATTAATACAATTCCAACTTTTAGACCTTTTAGCCGCAGAAGTGATGCACTCCTGCAGGCAAATTTCAAGGTCGCGTTTGACATATTGTCAGTATTGTACGTAGATGCATCTTTTGGAACAGTTTTTTTTAGCTGACCAATGTCAAGGCAGACCATGCAAACGTCAGAGCAGTTTTCCAGCAGTTGGATTCCACGGGATTCTCAGCTGCAACGGTGCTGCCATGAATTCGTTGGGGTTTCGGGTCGGCGGGTCGTTGTCTCGTTGTTCTCAGGACGTGGAACAGTGCAGAAGGATGAACTGATGTCTATTCTATCTGGCATTGGAATCACTGATCGAGAGCTGCCTGGCAAAGTCGTGAAGTTTCGGCATGCTAAACCTGGGTCCATGTTTGCGAAATCTTAAACTTAGACATGTAACACATACCTCAGAAAAAAAACAGACATGACAGATTTATAATGAATTGCAAGGCTTGGGTTGAATGAACAATAAAAACTGTCTGCCACAAAGCAGGAAAGTATCATATTGTCATCGCTCACTCAAAACGTATCATATTGTCATCGCTCACTCAGTCAATCACAACCGGTTTTGCCATTATCACCCACTTGCAACGTGTGGTATTTCATTCATCAGCTGAGGCTGGCATTGCTGCTTCAAACTGCAGATTCTTGGCTTTGGCTTGGGAATGTTTGCACTGTTTGAGGCCTAGAATTCAGCCAGGCTGTGGTTCAGATTTTGTTCCTCACTGGTTTCTGATTTCAAGATCTGCAAACTGAAGAAAGATGGTCGGCTGTCGGTCGATTTAAGGACATGTTTCAAGATCAAAACGTCCAAAGCGTTCAATACTCGCAATTCCTTCACTGGGTTTTCGCACCGTCCAAAACCGACCGTGAGAGTGGTCATGGAGCCGGCATCTCATCGCACCTTGACAGAAGTGATGCCAAACTTTTGACAGAACTGGAGGAAACCATGTGGAGCAACTGATTGTATATATATATATAATAGTAATAATCATAATAATAATAATTTATATGTATAAACACTTGAAACGGTTGCGACTGCCGAAAAGTTCTGAGATATTCCAAGTCTCTCCGCAACTTTCAACGTTTTTCGTGCTTGCGACTGCAAAAGATCGCGCCTAAGGGAGCTCGGTGTCTTGCCGCCAGGTGGTCGCTTGGCGGTTCACATAGCCATGGGGCCGCGCAGTTCAGGGGGACTGCGTGATATGTCCCCAGCCACGGAACATGACCCATGACTGCGTGGATGATTTATTCAACATGGTGATTCATCAGGTGCTTATTTACCTGATTTATCTGATGATTCAGCTTTTAAACATGGCCATGGCTTCCATAGCGAAGTGTTGGATGATTGGATGACCAGAGGTCCAGTTTTGGCTGGAAAGGTGATCACACTCTTGGCACCACAAAAAACTTGTTGAATTCTGAGGCTGCGAGGAAGCGGAGGCTTGGCGATCTGGGTACCAAAGGTTCTCGCTTTTGCAGATGAGTTTCATCCATCAAAACATGCTGAAGTCTGAGACTTGAGAACTCCATGATATCTTTGATATTGTTTGATTGGAAGTTCAGGCTTGAGGGTCTCCGTCTTCCTGTTTTTTTCTTCAACAAATGCGGTTGTATTGCATTCTGGGTGCTGCAGGAACGACCCATGTTTGAGCCATTGCCATGTTTAAATGATGCTTTAAGACTTTAAGTTGATATGACACCGAAAGTTAACACGTCTAAGTGTTGCGAGTTTATACACTATGAACAGGGACCGGACAATAATTGTTCTGGAGAGGGACAAAGCGTGATTTTGGGAAGATTTATGGTGCTATAGGAAATAGGCATTGTTCCGACAAAGCAGCAACTTGAGAAATATGTTGGTATACTATATATATATATGTATATGTATGATACCCATGAATGTGTAGATGATTCCAGCAGGGGGGTTGCATTCAACGACATCTTTTTGAATGCAGCCCTGCTATATTGAGGTGAAAATTTAAGAATGGATCCCCCTTGTTTTAAATTCTTATTTTCCATGTGCGACTCTCAGTATTTTCGGCATGTAACAAAAATGATGGATTTCTCCCCCAATCAGCTATTTGTTCAGGATGTTCACATCACTGGCCGGTGGAATTGATCATCGAAATAGATGAGTTGGATGCATTCCTGTTTACCGGTAGGTCCAAAGATCAAACCTCTATCACAGATCCAAGAAAAACACCGATTGGTTTTGAGATTTTATGGATTCATGACTCAATACCAATACTTCTTGGGCTTCTGTACATGACTTGTTGCTTGCTGCAAGCTCATGTGAGGTTGACAAAGCTCGGCAAGAGCAGGAGGCGAAGGAAGACATGCTGTGGGAAAAACTGTGGGATCGATGAAGAAGTGGTGAAATCAACCGCGAATCGTTTCACCATGTTTCACCGTTGTCCTGTCCATCTGGCTGGACGAGTTGGTCTCACTGTTTACGACCGGGCAAATGCCACCAAGTCGTTGAAAATCCAAATGGGTCCCATGGATTTCACTGAGACTTGAGACTTGAAGCGTCCAATGGACAGCGGCAGAGGTCTCAACGAGGTTTTTCCCTTGTATTCCAAGTGATGTTTGTCCACCTTTTCTTTCACACAAACGCATACTTTTGTCCAGTTTCTTTGCGTGTGCGTTTTCCACGTTTTCCACTGTACCTATCCTTTTTTCCTTTCTTGCCGTGGCTGTCAACAGCACCAGTTGCGGTCCGGTACATTCCTTGTTTGATCAGTTGAACCAGTTAGACCGGGATATGTATGTATGTGTATATATATATATACTTGAATCTTTTTGGGTGGATGGCTACTAATTCTGACGTCCAAAAAAGTATGAAACCACTATCGTATCATCATATTACTTTGTAATATGTTACAATCAGGACTATACAGTGCTGATTTACACTATACAACTCATCTATTGTCATCTTCAGCGCAGTTCTGTTGCTGGCCTCCAGAGATGGTTCCCAATTCCACCTGAGTCGCGTTGCTCGTGTCGATGGCCTTCATGATCGACCACCGGAAAATCACCAGAGCACTGGGAACACCTGTTTTGCACTAGATGATTTCTGACAGTTTTTCATGGCCACATCTCTATCGAGGGCGAAATAGCCGACTTCCCAATCTGCAGTTGGTTTCAGCATCTATTTTTCCCTTTGAGCTTCAAACGGAAGGATCTTTACAGACAGGACAAGTTTGGTTGCGCTCAGTGGGTTTCCCGAGGGGTCAACACGACGCATCGTCTTGGCGAAACGCTCAAGTGGATCGGATTAAAATTGATGACAACTCATCCCAAACACTCTCCAGTATGATCACGTTGATTTTCAAACAAAACAGCTTGCAAACCGTTTCAATTTGTTATTTTGTTGTTTTGTCAGATCTTGAACAAAATCAGCAGCTGCCGTTTTCCCTTTTTTCCCCGCTTTCCCACGATGTCATGCACCGTGTCTCCGCGGCGGCTCTCCTGCTATGTTGGACCTTGGCTCCGATCCTGCCCAGTGCGAACTCGTCCTGGGGTCGCTTTGCAGTGATTCCTCCAGTGTCCAATCCCCGCAGCCGGCAGAATGTGGAGGCCGCGCGGGAACTGGAAGAGTTCCTGGAAGAGCATGCAGTTCCGGCGCCGGACGCTGATCTTTTTTTTGGGTTTCACGCTGTTTTTTTTTTGCTTGGCTTTTCAAGATGAGGATCCTGTGGCAATTTGTGGATCACCCACAGAGGGGTGAGGATATTTTTTTAGGCGGTGCAAAACCAGCAAATGATGTTTTGGTTGATATCTCCATTGAAGAATTATGTTATAGTAACCGGCTAGCACTTAGAATACTAATCATTGTTTTTTTTTCTAATAGGTCTATTAGTTACATAATTTTTCCTGGGTGAAAACAATATTCTAAGTGCATATCCACAGACGATGCACATAGAATATAAACCTTGTAAAGATGTGCTGAGTTGATCATGAATCAAACCATCATGATGCATGGCGATGTCCGCGCTGTTTACTTTAGATTTCACTGATCAACGATTTGCTTGGAGAGTCTTGGGATTTTGATAAGGCAAATATGTATATAAATATATACCCCCATATTCTATGTGGATAAATATTCTATGTGGATGACATTCCAGGAATAGGTTTTGCTATGTATTTTCCATATTCTTAGTGGCACCTATTTATTTTTAATATTCTATGTGCCAGCTTATACCCAATTTTGGTTTGTATCCACAATATCCCCATCACACCCAGCATTTTTTTTCACCCGCGATCAGGAAAAGATAGAGTCTCGCTGGCACTTTTGGCTGCCATGGGATGTGACGGGAAAGCTCAACACCCTGCGCTGTCCTTTGTCCATTCGCATGGTAGCACTGGATGCGCATCCGTCGGTAGAGCTGGGGAAAACATCATGGAGTGCAGCAGATGCAAGTGAATTGGCGAGATGGATTTGCGCTAAGGTCGGAGGATTTTTTGGTTCTGAAGAAGATCATTGTCCTTGGTTGTATCCCAAATCGATTGGATGGAACAGAGGTGGAACCTACAGAAAAACTGTTCCAAACATGGGAATGGTGATGGGTCACGGTCACCACTGGGTGCCCCAAAATTGCAGCCTGTAACTCAAAAGGATGCACAGTTGAGGTCCCGAAAGGGTTTTGGTGCCTGTTCCAAACCCTGTTCATGATACATTTGACATTCCCAGCACCAGCCGGCAGTTTGGTGTTTTGCGGCTTTTCCCAGTTTTTGCTTCTGACTCCGAATCCCATGATGTTTTACCAATTTCTTGTTCTTTCTGACCAGATGTCAGTGGGTGAAATATGGTGAAACCACATGAAATCAGCATCTTGTTCCTGGCAATTGCCCAAATTTTGGTATGAAATCCCCCCAATTTTTCCCAACCTCAGCATCACCCTGAGGTGCCTTGGGCCCGCGTCCGTTTCGCCCGGCATCTCACGGGCAACGCTGAACCGCCGCAGTCCTGCCACGTCTGCCTCCGGCGGCGCCGAAACGGCGGCTTCGGGGAGGATCTGTCGTTGGCGCTGCGCAGGGCGCTGGCAGTGCAGCTGGAGGAGCTCCAGGGCTGGCGGCCGGAGGTGAAACGCAGTGAAGCTGAATTGGAACTGCATGTGATGTAGCTTGGACATGGATTGAGAGTGAAAACATGAGGGATTGTTAGGGTTAGGGGATGAAGTTGATGGTTGCCATTTTCTTTTTTTGGTTGGGGTTGCATTGGGAAGTGGCTTGGGTTTAAGCAAAATTATCAAGGCACGATCCAGACAGGGTATCTTTTCCACTCCACCAAGTCTTTAACTGCTCAAGCACGTTTGACGATGCAAGCATGCACGTGTATACCCTATCCCTCATGGACAACCTATTGTCATTTTGTCCCAACTATGGAAGCTATCTTGCATCCCTGCTATTTTCCCCCTATCACCAAAATGGAAATGGCTTAAACCTTGGTACCCTGGTTTTCATCAAATTTAGCTGGTAAGTGGATGTTCATCCCCCAACTCACATGCGAAAAATCATAGGTGTTGAAGTATCCCCTGTTCCAGTTGCCACTCTTGGTCCCATAGTTCCTACGTGCTGTTGCATCCCTGATTCTTGTCAGCTCAGGTTAGGTTTGGATGGCCGCATCTTGCTGGAGGTTCCCCTGCTGGTGCAGCGCATTGGCCTGTTGGGTGGCTTGCAGCAGCCGGGCATGAAGCAAGTCGAAGCCTGGGCGGTGGCAAAATCGTTGGACATCCAACCAGGTGGGGAAGGGTGATTTTTTTGCCATAAAAATCGGGAAACAATTTGGATTTATCCTCCACATTCCTCCACCATATTGACATAGACCTTGAAAATAGCCAGCAGGGTCTATGTTAATTTGGGGGACTGAACCAATGACTGGCTGACATTTTTTGAAGTCCGAATTCATCGAAATTGACGTCTGAACTCAATTCATATATGAAGTTGCTGAAGATGCTGGGCGTTATCACAATCTGCATTGATTTTGTCGTATGGTTCTTTTGGTATTGTGGTTATATCATGTTATATCAAGGTATATATATATAACAGATACAGGCAACAATACATCTATACATCTATAGATCTATAGATCTATAGATCTATAGATCTATAGATGCATAGATGCATACATGCGTACATGCATGCATACATACATGCATACATGCATACATGCATACATGCATACATGCATACATGCATACATGCATACATGCATACATGCATACATGCATACATGCATACATGCATACATGCATACATGCATACATGCATACATGCATGCATGCATGCATGCATACATACATACATACATACATACTGACTCACACACACACATATATATATACATACATAATATACATACTGCAGATATTGCAAGACACACACACATAAATACATGTGTTTCCTGCAACAAAAGCACTGCCACCAATTGCGCCCTTTGTCCAATGATCACATCACCAGGTGACGTGGTACTGGATCCCATGTGCGGCAAGGGCACCTTGCTGGCGGAAGCTGCCATTTGGTGGCCTGAGGGACGCTACATTGGTTGCGAAACCCGGCAAGAACTGGGGATGGGCAAAAATGAACGTCATCAGCAAAAATGTGGGTTTTAATTTGGTAAACACTTGGATATATTGTATATTGTATTATATTTATAAATACAGTAAATAATCTAAGCATCGCACATACCAATTTGACTAGCAAAGACTTCGAAAGAAGCAGCAACGAAAGTGCAGATTACTGTAAAAGGTGAAAAAATGAACTTAAGTGCAGCAAGAACAAGCACTAAACTGGCAAAGACTTGGATTTAAGCTAAGAGAGGGGATTTAAGTGGATCCAAGGAACGCACATCCGATGGAAGCAGAAGGGAATTCAATCAGATGGGTAAGTTCATCAGCAATGGCACTTGGATGATATCAGGAACTATGCAACCTTCATGTGGGGTAAAATCTACGGGTATTTTCTCTCAGTATGCTGGGAAACATAACCTGTAAACTTCAGACAAGCAACAGTTCTTGGTTGGCACTTTCAAATGTTCCAAGTTTAACTTCCATCGCAAGCCAGGACACGGACGCCCTTCAGCTCGAAAGCTGCCGCGAGAACCATCGCCACCTGCGAGTGGAGGTGGAAACACACCTGGCAGATGCCTCCTTCGAAGATGGTCTGCCGATCCCCAGTTGCTCGGTGGATAAGCTCATGACGGCCCCCCCCTGGGATCGTCAGTTCCAGGCCGCAGGTGGCGTGGAACAGCTGTACCCCAAGATGCTGCGGGAGTTTCAGCGGGTACTACGGCCCCATGGCAGGCTGGCATTCTTGCTGAACTTGCCGGCGCTCGAGGCGATTCGACCCTGGCTGGGGAACTGGACCACACAGCAGTGTCGCTTTTCCATGACACGTCACACTGTTGGAGTTCTACTGCTGGCGCAGCAGGGAGATGGTGAAACGTTGATCTGCGACAGCTGGCGCAACAAAGACTTGCGGCTGCTGCGCGGTCTGTGGACCAAACAACGGGCGGATGAACGACCCTGGCTCCGTCCGGCCAATGAGAGAGTGAAAAAAAAGCGCACAGCCGTGGGGGGGTGAATATACACACAAGTGTGATCATGTATTTATGTATGTATAGAATATAGATATATGATCTGTGATATATATATATATATGTATATATATAATATTATATATTATGTGTGTGCATATGTATGCACATACATTGTATAGATGCACGCAAAAGCATGCTAAACATATGCATACAGATCGTAATGGTTGCGTGAGTGAAGAGTTGA